ACCTTGTCTGTGACTCTATGCCTGTGTGTGCGGCGTCATCGCGCTTACTGGAACAGCGATTTCGCTTGCGACGGGGCAATGAAAATTTCGGCGGCTGAATTGCGGCGGCGGAATTCCGGCGGCTATTTTGGCGGAGTTCGCAATTATTTCGGCGGCAATTTCGGCGGCAATTTCGGCGGCAAGTTCGGCGGCAAGTTCGGCGGCAATTTCGGCGGCAATTTCGGCGGCGATTTCGGCGGCAATTTCGGCGGCAATTTCGGCGGCGATTTCGGCGACGATTTCGGCGGCCCTTTCGGCGGCCCTCCTGGCGGCCCTTTCAAGGACCATTTCGGCGGTTTTGCTTTTGACAGCTGTCGACGAATGCTGCTGGGAGCTCGCGGCGCTCAGCTTCGGTAAAGAGTCGATGCGCGGCGACGCAGACTGACCTGACCTCAGCCCGACGATGATTGTAACATTTGTTATCTTGTGCTTTTGGCGGTGATGATGGCGACAGCCGCGGTAATGTTTGGTTCAACATGGATGCTCGTCAGGGGGCATTACAGGCTGGCCTACGCGCCCAGCATTGCATGCTTTCAAACAAGAAAAAATTGTCACGCAACTCCTTCGGAATTCGGCGGCTATTTGGGGGGCCGTGGTGGCTCCAAAGGGTTGTCCTCGGTGACGACGTTGACGACGACGACGAGGGAACAGAGAAGAGACCCGCGGGAAACCCCGAGTGAAGCAATGATCCCTACGGTCATGACGGCGTCCCTCCACCCAACTCAACGCACACATCACACGGATTGCGCGTCAGAAGGACGCAGACGCACGTACCCCTTCTGTGGGAGGATTCGCGTAACATCACGCCCCCCCAGGGCGACTGGGTTTCTCACACGGATCGTGTCCCAGTGGGAGCTCCACCGACAATCCAAAAGCCAAAGTGCGGATGCCGCCCTCCCGCCTATGGCGGTACACCCCTGACCTCGACCGTGAGTGCGGGGTGGTTTGGTTACTCCCCGGCGCACCGCAGCATGTTTCTGTTGAAGCCTCGGGAAGCCCTGAGATGGATCTTGCAGGACGTAGACACGAGACCTCCCATACGCTCATGGGGGCCTACTGGAATGCGTGCTGGGAGCCTCTTGGAAGCATTGTGGGAGTCGCTGGGGCCTCTCCAAGCCTTCCTTGGGAGTCCTTTTTGGGGCCTTTGTTAGCCCGTCTTGGGGCCCATTTCAGCCGTCCCGGGTCCCTCTTGGCCCGTCATGGGAAGTTAAGCCCGTCTTGGTGCCCTCTTGGGGCCCTCTCCGACCATGTAGGGATCCTCCGGTGGCCCCCTGGGGCTCCCTGGGGACTCTCTTGGGCCGTCTTGGTGGAGCTCTCTTGTGCTGCTTGGGGCTCTCTTCGGGCCGTCTTGGGGCCCTCTTGGGGGCTTCTGGGGCTCTTGGCCCGTCATGGGGAGCTGAGCCCGTCTTGGGGCCCTCGTGGGGCACACTCCGACCATGTAGGGATCCTCTGTGGTCCTCTCGGGCCACCTGAGGACTCATGGGCCTCGGAGCTCTCTTGTGCTGCTCGACGCTCTCTTGAGGCCGTCTTGGGGCCCTCTTGGGGGCCTCTTGGGCCGGCAGGGGCCGCTTTGGGGAGCCCTTGGGGCCGACGTGGCCGCCGATGGGACAAAAGAAGCCAATATCCCAGAAATGTGCGCTTTTCAAATAGGCATGCTGTTTTTTGTCCCTGGGTGGCCTTCTCGGCGTCCTCTTCGAGCGGTTTGAGGGAGTCCTTTTGGGTTTTTCTGGCCCTTCTGGGGGCCCATTTCCGCCGTTCCGGGTCCCTCTTGGCGCGCCATGGGGAGCTGAGCCCGTCTTGGGGCCCTCGTGGGGCACACTCCGACCATGTAGGGGTCCTCCGGTGCCCCTCGGGGCCCATGTGGACTCTCTGGGGCCGTCTTCAAGCCCTCTTGTGTTGCTTGAAACTCTCTTGACCACGTCTGTTTTTTTAACGCAACGTGGGGTGCCTAGAAGCAGGGCCGGGGACCCGCGTTAGAAATGGTCCGCGAAAAAACAGCGAACTTGTCTCGGCATCCGCCCACCGTCAACAAAAACAGAGTGCCCTAACCTCTGGGCGCGCGCGTGGCGCAGGGACGCTCGCCATGTCGGAGCGGCCAGAGGTCGATGGTTCGCTCGGGCATGCCCCCCCTGTGGCGGATTTTGGGCGAAAAATCAAAATTTACTCATCGGAGGTTGGGGGATGAGATCGCAGTGAAACGGAGACCCCCCACCGGGAAATCGGTTTCGGCTTCGTGTTCGTGTCGTGCGTGCGGGCGAGGCGAAGCTGCGCGTGATCGTCCTAGCTAGGCCGAAGTAGGAGCGAAAATCCGTTTCCCGTCCGCCGGTGGCCGGGAGGTGTCCCAGTTGGGCCGGGCGGTGTCCCGGGTGTCCGGGTGTCCCTGGCGTCCCGTCGCTAACGCATGTCGTTAATTTCATGCTCCATTTTGTTCGGCGCCTGCGGCGGGCTTTCTTATCCAATCCAGCTTATATTTTCCAATCCATCTTGTCCAATCCAATACATCTTATCTGTTCGAACCCATATTGTCCCATCTTATCTCATCCCACCCAATCCAATCCATCCAACTCAATCCATAAATTATGTTTCTGCGCCTGCGGCGGGCCAATCCAATCCACCTTATCTTATCCAATACACCTCGTCCAACACAACCCATCTTATCTTTTCAAACCCATATTATCCCATCTAATCCAATCCACCCAGCCTAATTCATACATTGATTGTTGTTGGCGCCTGCGGTGGGTTTTCTTATCCAATCCAGCTTATCTGATCACATCCATCTTGCCCAATCCAATACACCTTATCCTATCGAACCCATATTGCCCCATCTTTTCTCGTCCCACCCAATCCAATCCATCCAACCCAATACATCAATTATTTTGTTCCTGCGCCTGCGGTGGGCAATTCCAATCCATCTTATCTTATCCATCCAATCCATCTGTGTTATTCCAACCCGTCTTACGATATCCAACCCAATTCACCCAGAGAGGGATATAGGACGAGAAGAACCTATTGACAGAATGTGCTATTGACACGTTCCGGAAATTCCGGGATTTCTAACAGCCTTCGCGCGGGGTACACTTTGCGTCGAGTATTGTCTACTCTGGCTGGCGTCGCTGGTCGGTCACCCATTCGCAATCGAGTGGTCGCCCGTAAGGTGCTACTTGGCAATTGCTGACCCCCTCCTTTTTCGTTTCCGAGCACGGGGGGGACGGCGGCGCACCGTCCCATCGCCCGCCGCCGCGCAACGCGCGCCTCGGCGGATTCCCAAAGACCTGGCAAAGCAAATCATGCGCGACTCTGGAAATTCTCCGGGGGGAAACTTGAACAAATCCGGGAACATTTTTCAACATGTCTGGCCTGCTTTTCGAAAAATGTCAGAACCGTGTTTGAACATTTCCGGGATCGATTTTGAAAAATCCCGGAATCCATTTTGAAAAATTCCGGATTTCAGAATGCTTCAGATGTCATGCGCGGCGGGCGCATGCCACCCCTCAAAACTGTTTTTTTTTTGAAAATTTCCGGGCTCCTTTTTGAAAAATTCCGGAAACGCTTGCGCGAAAAAAAAAGCGGAAACATTTGCTGACACATTCTATAATCAGGAACTAATGTCCGGGCGGTCCGACGGGCGCGGCCGGCTGATGCACGCGCCGCGCCGCGCGCGATTAGGCGGCGCGCGCCGCGCGTTGCGCCCGCGAACAGCACTCGAAGGGGCTACCTCGAACACGGCGCCACGGCAGCTGCGACTCGCGGACCCCCCAAGAGCAACCCAGCATGCAGCTTGGAATCTTCGAGGGCGCTCCGATGCGCGAAAAATGCACCGCGAACATCACGCGAAAAACCTGCGCGACGGAACGCGCTCGACCATTCATCCCTGAAGCCCGCGCGGAAGAACAGGAAAACCTGGAAATGTGGAAAACTATCAATATCAATACTTCATGCTCCTCTGAGGATAGAGAGAGGGAGGGCGAGAGAGAGAGAGAGAGACAGGGAGTGAGAGAGACAGAGAGAGAGAGAGAGACAGAGAGAACGAGAGAGATGAGATCAAGTTGACAGGCTGGAGGTCAGTCAGGGTGGGCATTTGATCTCGACCCCCCCAAACTTCCTCATCGCCCGCAGGGCGGTCGTATAGGTATCATACACCAAAAAGGAATACCGCTTACACCTGCATGTGCTTGTTTTGACTTGAAAGAAGCAAAAAGAGGCCCGAGGCGAGGTATTGCTCATGTCTCAGTGCTCCTCCTGTAGGAGGGGCAGGCCCGACGTCAAGCCTACGAGGAGGAGGAGGAGGAGGAGGAGGAGGAGGAATATGGGGAATCCTTTGATTTGTGTGCATTTATCTCTGTGTCCGCAGGGCCCCATTTGGGTGTGCCCGCGGCCGGCTCTCTCCGGCAGCTGCTGCGCCGTGCACGGGTGCCGCACTTGGCAGCAGCGGGCGCCGGGGCGGCACGGTGCCCTGCCGCCCCCGCCTCGGCGGCAGCGTGCGCGCAGGCCCCTTTGCTCGCGCGCGGGGCGCCAGCCCCTGCCCCCCTTCCGCCTCTCCCCCCCTCTGTCTTCCTCCTCGCCCTCCTCGCTTCCTCGCCCTCCTCCCCCTCCTCCTCCTCCTCCTCCTCCTCCTCCTCCTCCTTCCTCCTCCTCCTCCTCCTCCTCCTCCTCCTCCTCCTCCTCCTCCCACTCCTAGCCCTTTCGATCAGGGTCGGCGGCACCGGCCGTCAGGCCTCTCCAATACACACAAATAAAAGGATTCCCCATATGTTCCCACACGTTCTGGGTGTTCGTCTTCCCCCCCACTTCCCATATTTGCGCATACTTTCCTGGGAGTGGGCGATGAATTGTGTCTGTGTGATCTTCCCCTCCTGAACATCGGCGAGCCACTGTGGCAAAGAGCCTCGTGCAAGCAGCAGCATTTGGGAGCAGGACCCCACGGCACAACTCCAGACACCTAGGTATCCCCTCTTCCTCACCCGCACACCACCCACCCCCCTCACAGTGGCAGGCTTCCCGCGGAAGCAGCATTCAAGAAAAGTGCCCGTGCAGAAGCGCGCCACATAATGCGTCAAGACACGAGGCATAATCCCTCTGGGCACTGACGACGACGTGGTGTCCGAATGGCGCAAAGCCGCTCTGACCGAGACACGCCAACCCGGATGCACGGCAACACCGAGCGCCTCGCGCCCGCACCGGCTCCTGCTGCGGTGGCGAAGGGTCGCACGGGAGGCGACCTGGAGGCCCGTGTTGCCAGATCCTCGACCCGAAGGTCGGGAGCGGCCAATCGTAGGGGAACAAAAAGTTACATACACATAAAAACTCGGAGGTCCGCGCGGATTTCTCGGATCGGCGCTGGACCCCCCTCCCTGGCGCGCGGAGCGCGCCAGGGGCGGCGCCGGAGGCGCCGACGGGGGGCCCCAGCGCCGATCCGAGAAATCCGCGCGGACCTCAGAGTTTTTATGTTTATGCCACTTTTTTGACTACCTACCAGACCACCTCAACCCAACCCGAAGACCAAAATTTCGGGTTGGGGGGGGGTACGGGTTCCATACGTGTTTTCTCGACGTTCCCCGACCCCCCCCCACTGGAAATGGAGGTCAATGTGAGGCCTGCGGGTTGGGTTGGGGTGGTTTGGTGGGTGGTGATTTTTGTTTCCCTGAGATCCTCGGCCCGAAGGTCGGGAGCGGCCCGTCGGATGGGCCCAGGGCACGGGCCGAGGCGGGCCCCGTGCGGGCCCCGCCGGAGGAGGTGGCGGAGCAGGAGGAGGAGGAGCAGGAGGAGGAGGACTAGGAGGAGGAGGAGGAGGAGGAGGAGGAGGAGGAGGAGGACTATGAGGAGGAGGAGGAGGAGGAGGAGGAGGAGGAGGAGGAGGAAGAGGAGGACTATGAGGAGGAAGAGGAGGACTATGAGGAGGAGGAGGAGGAGGAGGAGGAGGAGAGGGAGGAGGCCGCGAGATCCTCGACTCGAAGGTCGGGAGCGGCCGAAGCTGGTCCCGTGCGGGCCCCGCCCCCGCAGACAGCGCCGCTGGGCAGCGGGGGCGCCCTCGAGGGCTCTTTGCGCGCCCGGCCCAAGCCGCTGGGGCCCCGGTGGAGGCAAACACGCGCACGCGGCAAGGGCCGGGTCGGGCGAAAGGGGGGGATAGCAAAGGGGGGGGTTGAGAATCAGCTCACGTAGCTGATTTTCCCGGCGCCTCCCGGCGCTGGAGGCGGCTATGTATCGAGGAATGGGCCCCTCGGTGAGGCCGAAACCAGCTGCATGCAGCAAATTTTGTAACCCCCCCTTTCCCAATCCCCCCATTTCGCCCGGCCCGAAAGGGCCAGGCTCGAGAAAGCACGTGCAAGACGGACCTGCGCCTGCAACCAGCCAGCGCACGGGGCCGGCACTCAGTGGGCCCCGGAAACGGCAGGGCCAGCTCTGAACCGTTCCCAGAAAAAAGGGCCCCTCGAAAACGGAAACGGCAAAAGAACGGCGATCGGACACGGCAACAAGCACGGCTCCAGGATTGAAACCGGAGCGGGAACCCGTAAAAGAACGGCGACGGAACCGGCAACCAAACGGCGTCGGAACCGGCAACAAAAAACGGCAAAACGGAACCGGTATAAAAAACGGCCCTGTCGTTTCCAGGGCCCACTAAGGGCCGGCAGGCAGTGGTCGGGAGATGCTGGGGGAGACGAGGGCAGAAGAATAATCAGCCGCGCAGACATATAGCTGATGTGGTAGATGGAAGCTGTAGTAAGTGTTAGCAATGTTACGCTCAAGATAGCTTAGCTGCAAGCAGATGGGACAACTCATTCGAGACCGTGTTTGATGCGATTGATTCTGCCGCATCAAGAATGACAAGCAAAGCTTATATACCAAATTTTGAAAACCAAACATGTGAAACAACTCAATTGAAATACCCCACTATATATATATATATATATATATATATATATATATATATATATATGTATAGGTATCGTGGCTCTGTTAGCGCTAGGTGCAAGCATGTCTTCTGCGCCTACACATATTGTTAAGACTAGCAAGCTGATGAATGACATTGACCTCTCCAAACTGCATTGAGAAGAATACCTTCTATATTATGGCAGTGCTGAGACTACTCGAGATATGCAGGAACATGTTGTTAACGATCTTCTACATGCTTACATATATGTATAGTTGTTTGCTTGTGAGTACAACTTCTGCTAATCGGTAATTATGAAGCATATTGCGCAGCTTACCCCTTCTTCAGTAGAAGAGATTATGCCAACAACAGAAGGAATATATGGATATCGTATCACATGGAATGAGTTATAGTATCGGTACTTATTCTAGTCTATGGGATAGCTTTGTCCATCAGGTGGATGTTACAAAGCATTCAATTTTGAAGAAAGAAGAAACTCGGATAGCGTAAGAACTCGAATGAGCCCTAGAGATATTGCAGCTGCTGCTGAGTATGCTTGAACCACCCTGGGCGATCCCCGTCGAGAGAGAGAAAGAGAGGCAGCCACTGGCGCAAGGCAGCGGCCAACGCCTGCCGCTGCAGGGCGCGTGACTGGAGACGGGGGCCCGCTCGGGCGCCGAGGCGATCTCCCGGACCTGGCGAGCCCTGCTGAGGGCGGGATGAGGAGGAGGAGGAGGAGGAGGAGGAGGAGGAGGAGGAGGACAGAGTGAGCCCGCACCGCGAGCGTGCATCGCTGGGCTGCAGCACGCCGATCGGCGGCGACGACAGGGGCGAATAGCCCAAAGCGGGCACTACAGGCATTCGCCGGGGAGCCTGGTGGAAGGCATAGATCCTCGGCGCCCCTGGACACATGCACTGCTCCCCCCTGGGCTGTTCGCCCCGATCGTCGCCTCCGAGCCAGAGCGTCTGGCACCTGCGAGGGAGCACCGGCGAGCGCGGGGAAGCACGGGGAGAGCTGAGCGGGCCGACGGATGGCGATATCAGCTGGGCGGCCGGGGCTCGCGCGCCCGCGCCGCCCGGCGGACCCGCCCTGCAGGCAGACCGCGGCGGAGCGGGGCAGCGCTGGGGGCTGCTTGTGCTGGCACCCACCTCTGGGCCTGGGGCGGTATTTGCCGCCGCGGACAGCCGCAGCCTGCGAGGGGCGATGCGGCCGCGACGGTCAGCGCGGAGTGCCCACCGCACACCGCACCTGCCGCGCCGCAGCGCGGAGGGCCGCGGCGCAGCGCCCTCCGCAGCGCCGCGCCCCAGGGGCCGCGGCGCCGAGTCGCCGCCCTCAGGCGGCCACGGCGTGCAGGTCCTCGCTGGACCTGGAGCGGGTCAGCCCGGCCAGGTGCGGCTCCGATGCCTGAGAAACGTGCACGAAAGTGTTCTTCACGAGGATGTCTGGGAACTGACCCTGCTCCCCAGGATGCTCGAAGAGGGCCCTCTTCTGCAGACCGTTGCGCCTCGCTCTGCGCCGAATGCCCGAGCGGCTCATCTCGTCGTGCGAGGCGTGGCACAGCCTGCACAGCACGCCGTCCTTGCAGCCCCGCCTCGAGCGCGTGAACTTGCACGGGGTGCACTCGCCGAGGGCGTGCAGCCCCGCCCCGAGGCTCAGCGCCGTGCCGTCGTCGCCGCGCGGGCACTGGACGATGGTGGAGAGGGCGATCTTCTCGGGCATCGCCGAGCGCCCGATGATCGTCCTCGTCGGCAGGCCCGCGGAGTCGTCGGTCAGGGTGGCGGAGGAGTCCCGGAGGCTGGAGACGACGGAGGCGCGCGAGCCGTGGTCGAGCTCGCCGCGGTCGTCCTCGTCGGCGAGGCCGCATTCGCTGCCGAACTCACGCGGCGGCGGTGTCTTCAGCTCGTGCCCTCCGACAGTCGGCGTGCCCAGCGGCGGCATCACGTGTGGCCAGCGGCACCAGGTCTTGGATGCCGACTCGACACTTCCCTAGCACGCCCGCTCGGCCGAGCCCCAAAAACGCTTGAGCCAAAATGGCTAGGGCGTTCTCTTGAGGCCGTCTTGGGGCCCTCTTGGGGGCCTCTTGGGCTGTCTTGGGCCCATGATGGGAGTTTCTGGGGCCGTCGCAGCCGCCGTTACGACTGAAAATCGAATATCAAGGAAATACACGTTTTCCCACAAAGAAATGCCTGATGTTTGCCCTGGGTTGGCGTTCTCGGCGGCGTTCTGGACCGTCTTCAGTGCCTGTGTGGCCGTCTAGAGCAGCCTTGGACTGTCTTCGAGCGCTCGTGGCCCGTCCACAGGCCATACCAGTGCGCTCTTCAGCCATCTTCCAGACAACCTGGGGCGCTTGGGGAGCCTGTTAGGCCAGCTTGGGTGCCCCTCAGGGGGTCCAGGGCTCCTTTCGGGGATGGACAGACCTCCCTTGGTAAAACGTGGTTTAGTGAAACCGACCTGAGGCCCAAACCTGGCGGGCGCAAGCCTGGAAAATAACGGCCGCGGCGCCCTCTCGAGAGCCGAAAACGGACAATTCGCTAATCGACGTGTCACTGTTGGGGGTTCTGTCCGCCCCCGATCCTTCTGGGCCCTCTTGGAGACCTCGAGGCCCCCATGGACCCCCATGCAAAACCAGTTGCGCTGGTCTACTCCCCTGGTCTACTCCGAGAGAGCGAGAGAGAGAGAGAGACATATACATAAATGTGTATACATGGCCGAAGGAATCCTCCACCGCGGCCCTCGGTCCTCGGTCCGCCCCCGCCTCCTCCTCAGTCTGGTCCCTTGGCGGGAGGTCGCGTGCGAGGTGGTCCAAAGTGCTGTGCCCCGAACGCTCACTCTGTCGCGCAAGTGGTCTCTCGTTCTCCAGACAATGCGGCCCGTAGCATGCGCAGGCAGCTTCGTGTTGGTCGCTATCTGTCGTTGGATTGCATCCTTCCTCCTCCTCATCCTCCGCCTCATCCTGTCCATCCTGGACCCCTCTCCCGGTCCCCATCCAGCCCACACTCTCTCTCTCTCTCTTGGTTAACCCTCGCCCCCATCCTCCTCGGGGATGGGGACGAGAGGCGATCAGGGATCAGCGCTCCCCCAAAGCGGATCCGCGGAAACCAGGCTCACCTGAGCGCTCATTCGTTCTCAGCCTCCCGGCTCCAAGAGGAGCTCGGCCCGCCGCATCCTCCGGGACGGCGGCGCCCTCGGATCCCCCTGGGCGGGAGGCGAGAGGTCCAGCCCGATTGGTCCCATACTGTCGGGCTGCTGAAGTAAGTAACGCTAAATCAGGAACGAAGCCCCTTCTGTGGCTTCAAAAAACCATGGGTGCACGAGAAGGGCTAGAGGAACAACCACGGAAGGACGCAAGGAACATCGAGCCCCTTCCGAATCCACATTGTTCCTCATTTCACCGTCTTGGCTGTAGGAGCACCTTTCCTCCGCCGATATCGCGAAAATCCTGGCGGCCTTGTAGACCAGGATGATCCAACACCTGTCCGGGTCCAGGACGTGGCACGTGAACGATGTCTTTGCAGGTGCGCTGGCCACGGAGTGTTCGCCCGCAGCGCCTCTCCTGGCCCAGCGGGCTCTGATCAAGTAGTTCCTGACCCGAACCACTCCTGGCTGCTTCGAAGGACCAGCACCTCGATCCTCCTCCTTTTCCTCCTGCTCCTCGTTCACCTCCTGGCTCAGACAGCGCCAAGACGCAAACCTTGGCCGGCCACAAAATACCGTAGCTCCCAAACCTGGATCGGCGGGGGGAGGGAGAGAGAGAGTAGGGGCAGGCCACTCACGGCTTCCAGACCCGCGTCAGCTGACCCCGGCTGACCCCCTGTTGGTGGTGACCCCCGTTGAGCTCCACCCCGATCCACCGACGTCGTGATTTATCACGAAGTGGGCCTCTCGAGGTCTCAACCCCGTCCCCGCGGCCGACGTCATCCTGATCCTGATGCGTTTGTATCTTGGGGCCCAGAGAATGCCCCAAGATACGAACAACAAAACACATTGTCCGGCGTGATTCCAGAAGCGGCTAATAGAGACAATACAGTCGGGCCTTGACCTAAGGAACCCTAAATGGATAACGAGGCCCCTTTTTTTCAAGAAGTTGAACTTTGATTTCCCTTCGAAAGCCTAAGGAAAACGTGGGGCAAACTGTGAAACACTTAAGGAACACGGAGCCCCTCCCCAACGAAAAGAGTTCCTTCTTCAGGGCCCCGACTGTAGCGGTTCCTCTCCCGCCCAACCCAACTCCGCTCAACATCGGTCCCCAGAGCCCTCCCTGGGTCCATCCTGACCTGCTGTTCGGAGTGCGCCCAGCCGAGGCGATGATAAGCCTCTGGGAGGCCCCGAAAAGATATAATGATACCGGAGAAACAACCCAATCAGGGCTATAGGGCTAGGGGGCTATAGGGCTATTGAGCTATAGGTCTATAGAACTATGGGGCTATAGAGTTGTAGGACTATAGGGCTATAGGGCTATTGAGCTATAGGGCTATAGGGCACCCCTGGGCACCCCCGGGCACGCCCGGGCACGCCCGGGCACCCGGGCACCCCCAGGCACCCCCCGGGCACCCGGGCGTGCAGCGAAAATCGGCGGCCAACCTCACCCCCGGGCAACCCCGGACACCCGGGCACCCGGGCGTGCACCTAAAATCGGGGGCAATCCTAACGTACCCATATGAATCCGCTCGGACCCCTACAGGGGCAAACTCTGATTGGGGAAAAACGCTGCGGGGACCGCCGTTTCCTCGTGTGGCCCCCGTCCAATGGTTATCTACACGATGCGAGGAGATCTGTGAGAAGGCGCGCAGGGAGGGGGACCGGCTCGGGGGGGAAGACGTTGACGTGGAATCGGCAGCACATCGGCCACAGCTCGGCGATGGGCCCTCGATAGCGAAACCACATAGTCCTGGGCGGGGCAAGGCATAGGGCCCCCTTCGGCGGTGAATGGGCGAGTGGGGGTCGATGCGGTCCCCCCCGGGGCCCACTTCCCAGGTTCTCGGCCAACAACTCGGGTCGCTGGCGACAGCTCGTGATGATCAGGGCACCCCTGGAACACCCCAGGCGAGGCGCGGCCGCTGGTCGAATGCTCGCTCCTCCGATCCCCCCCCCGAGCCCAATTCCCCCCCCCCTGGGCACAGCCCCCCAGTGGAGGCCTCCCGAATGGTGCCAGAGCAGAAGGGGGTCAGAGGATCGCGCCGCATCGCCGATGCATCGGCGACGTCGGCGATGCGTCGCCGACGTCGGCGTGGAGATAATGGTGCCCCACATGGAGCCACATCGGCGATGCATCGCCATCCTATGACGCTATCCACTCGGACCGCATTTGGGAGGCCTGGGTGGTGAAACCAGAAGCTGCATCGAAATAAACTGTCGGAACTTCGAGAGCTTATGTTTACGTGTGTACGCTGTTCTTCGACTGGTGCCACCGTGCTACCAGAAGAAGCACCGAACAAGGAGCGCACAGCCAGCGTCGGCCACGAGCGAGGCCGCGCCCTCACATCCACGGAGCGGCCCGACAACCCGAGCCCCTCCCGAGGCCATCCCACCCGAAAGCTATCCCGCCCCTGAGGCTACTCGGGCCCTCGGTAAATCTCCCCGTGGGGCCTCGAAGCGTGTGAGGGGTCTGCCGCAGTGGGGCGGGTACTATGTGAGCCCTGCCACTGGGGCTCTCGGCAAATCTCCCTCTGGGGCCACGAGGCGTGTGAGGCGTCTGCCAGGATGGACGTTGGTACGCACGCGAACCCTGCCACAGTGGACTTCGGTAGAGCTCCCCGTGGGGCCACGAAACGTGTAAGGGTTCTGCCGACATGGGGCAGGTACTTATGTGAATGCTGTCAGTCGGGCCGCCGTAATTGCCCCTAGTGGTACCATGAAACGTGTGAGGGGTCTGCCGAAATGGGGGGGGTACCCATGTGAACCCTGCCGCTGAGGCCTTCGGTGGAGCCAGGCCCCCTCTGGGGCCACGAAGCGTTTGAGGGGCCTACAAAATGAGAAAAAAGGCAACAGAAAAGATGACGATGAGGCCTCCTGTTCTGCTAGAGCCGTCGTTGGGGTCTTCGGTGGAGCTCCCGATTGGAGCGTACGAGCTGTGTGAGGGGTGTGACGAACATGTGATGATAATGATGAGCGTGGTGACCAACATCATTGAAGTGGCCCTGGGACACACAAATAAAGACACACAAATAAAAAGATCCCCAATATGTTCTTATCTATGTTTTCTGAGTTTGGGTCTTCCCCACCACTTCCCGTATGGTCCTACATCTTCAAGGGGATCGACGGTGAATTGTGCCTCTGTGTGTGTGTGTTTCTTCCCTCCTGAATCATAGAGGAGGAGGAAGAAGATCGGGAGCGGCCAAGAGGGGGGGGTCCAAGAGGGGGGGGTGCAAATCATGCCCGGCGGCACGTGCGCGGCC